GGCCCTCACCTTCGTTCTAACACACGATGGACCACAGTCCTCAGTAAAAACCTCTGGCCCCGAACAAAGATGTGACTCTCTTTTCTTGAGTCTCCCAGACACTGTACCAGCACTCTTTCTACATCTTCAATAAATTCTGCTTTCACCTCCTGCTGGCTCACCTTTGATTTCTATCCTGCAGCCAGGGACTCTGCTGGCTAGTCCGGTGGGACTCCTCCAGGTCCTAGACCTGGCCTGCCAGCAACATATTGACTGTTTCCCAGACTCAGTACTCACCAAAAAAATTTTATAGTTATAAGCTGACTTCTAATATGGCCTGACTTCAACAGGGCATGCAATGGACTAGTTCTATATATATTTTTAAAAGATATACTTCATTATTATCATTATTATTAAAGTACACCCCCTAAGCCCAATGTGGGGCTTGAACTCACGACCCTGAGATCAAGAATCACACACTCTACTGACAGCCAGCCAGGCACCATGACTAGTCTCTATTTTATCAGATGGACAAAGTGGCATTCTGACGCCTAAACCAGTGCCTGTGACAATGCGCAACATAAACTGGTTTTCTTAGGTCTTCGTCAACTGGGTTCCTGACAAAACAAGGCTTCTATTTCAGAAAGACTGAACACCAGATCTAACTATGGTGACCCAAAAGAGGTAAGGCCACTCTCGTGAGAATGAGGCACAACCACTGGGCTTTCTAGATAATTCTCTGTTTGCGTGCATTTTCACTACACTTACAGAATTTATTTATGGGGATTAAATGCCTCAAACCCATCTCTTTTATCATGTCTGTCCCCTAACTAAACCTGTAAGCTCTCTGATGGTGGGATTTTTATCCATTTTGTTTACTACGAAATCCTAAGTGCCCAGGACAGTGTGTGGCATACAGGAGACCCTAACTATACATTTGCTGAATGGATGGATGGATGGATGAATGAATGAATGAAAGAAAAAAATGGTAAGCCACTAAAAGTCTTCCTAAGTGGAATTATATTTAAATTTGTCAAGTCAAAAATCTGAGGGCAGATAATGAGTTCAAAGAACACAATGAAAGACTGTATGATACCTCCTTGGAGCAAATCATCTACACAGTGCTTTACGGTTTATAATCACTTTCCCATATATCCCCCCCATGTGATTCTCCTTATTCTAGAAATAATCTCTCAGAGACACCAGAGACTTTCACTTCAGCGCCCATCTGAGCACTGCCTCAAGCCCTGCCCCTTCTATCAACACTGAGGTACGTGTTTCTGTGTCACGGGGGGCTCCTTGAACACCCGTATCCTGAGGAAGTTTGGAAACTCTCTCCAACCCCAAGCACCTGAAGGCACGACACAGCAAACCATGGTGAGATGCCCAGGACTGTGAACAGAAGTCGTGGGAGGTGAACAATAACAGTGACATTCATAAAATGCTTCCGGGTGCCAGGTACTGTGCTAAACTTTTCACATGGAAACTCTTCACAGTAGGTCAATGCTGTAGATAAAATCATTCCTTCTCATTGTACGGATGGAAAAGTACAATGCTGAGAGCTTACGTGATTTGTAGTCCTACTACAGAAAGTACTCCCAAGGACTGTGTATAATATGAGTTAGCATCACAGTTTTTAGTCCTTAAGGGGGGAAAAAACGCTCTCAATAAAAGATACCAATATTCATGGAATGAAATGATCAATATACATATATTTCCTGAGCAGTTATTCAAAGCATGGGACACAGAAGCGGAAGATGCACTCCCTGTCTTCAAAGAGTTTATAACATGGTGAAAGCAGAATAAGTCACTAATGGCGAATGTTTATATAAAGCCTTACAGTGTAAAAAGATGTCCCATACATTATCCTGTTGGACCCTCACCAATAAGCCCTAAGAACTATTTCATAAGGGGTGAAGGGAACTCAGGATCCAAGGAGTCAGGAATGTTGTAGAGTTCACAGAGACAGCAAGTGGCAGTCCCAGGATTCAAAATACATACCTTCTCATTCTACATCAAGCTAGCCAGGAGAGACAGAGAGGGCTGGAAGGCAGCAAAGGAAATGGTGGCAGGAAAGAGACTCAAGTGGCAGAGTCCTGGGGTGTCCTGGGGTAGCTCAGGGGTTACGCAGGCCTGCGGCTGCCTCTGACTCAGGTCAGGATCTGGGAGTTCCTGGGCCCAGCCCCGGAGTGGTGGGGGAGCAGCTCAGCAGGGCGTCTGCTTTTCACTTTTCCCTCTCCCACTCCCCTTCCCCCTGCCTGTGCTCTCTCATTTGCTTGCTCAGCGTCTCAAATAACTAGAAAAGTAGAGATCAGAAAAGGAAGAGAAGCAGGGCAATATACAACACAGAAACCACAGGAAGACAGAATTTCAAGAAGGACTGGACCCTTCTTTCTACGGGTCAAGAACAATAAAAACCAAGGCAAGACTACCCGAGAAAGGACATTAAAAAATAAAACAAACATCTATTATTTATTTATTTATTTGAAAGAGAGAGAGCCAGCCTACAAGCAGGGGGGAGGGGTGGAGAGGGAGGGAGATGCAGATTCCCTGCTGGCAGGGAGCCCGAGGGCCAGGGGCTCCAGTCCAGGACTCAGAGACCTCAACCTGAGCCAAAGGCAGACGCATAACCAACTAAGCCACCCAGGTGCCCGGTGAAAGGCTATTTTTTTTATAAAGCATAACTCTGTATAATTATATTCAAATAGAGATGGTTCAAATTATTTGCTTTAAATGAGCGAATACTTTCAAAGTGCTAACAGCAGTGCCTGGTACACAGTATGCACAGCATGAACATTTGCTAAGTAGATAAATCATAACCATTCCTAGTATCCATTATATGGTAAGATAAGATGTAAGAATGTCAATATGTCGGTTAACTGCAATTCTCAACTATGCAGAAGGAAAAAAAGACCTTGAAAGATGTTTCTCAATTATGAAGAGAATTAGCATGTTTCTGAAGAACTGTACATAATAGTAACAAGCACCCAATAAATGTTGGCTATGTCTGTGCTCTGAGCTAAGAAGTTTTGTAAGATCTTATTTATTTATTTGAGAGAGAGAGAGAGGGAGAGCACCAAGTGTGGGGCGGGGGAGCAGAGGGACAGAGACAAGCAGACTCTGCGGGAAGCCCAATTCAGGGCTCAATCCCAGGACTCTGAGAATATGACCTGAGCTGAAATGAAGAGTCAGCATCCAATCCACTGAGCCACCCAGGTGCCCCTGAGCTAATAACTGTATACTGATCGCCTGATTTTATTCTTACTGCAACCTGTAAGAGGTAGGTCAAGGCTTTGAAGGGCCTGAAGTTTATAAATTAAAAAAAAAATTAAAAAATTTAAAAAAGAATACAAAATTATGTCCACCTTTGTAAAGTTTACAAAACCACAGGACCATGAGAGCACACTGCTAGGGCTCTTCCCAAGGCCTTGGAGGGTACCAACTGCAAGTAAAGATGCCATGGTTTCCCTCAGGTCATGATCTCAGGGTCCTGGGATCCAGCCCTGCGTTAAGGTCCTCACTTAGCGGGGAGTCAGCTTGGGATTCTCGCCTTCCCTCCGCCCCCCTGGCATGAGCTCTCCCCCAAACCAATGCACTCTCTGCTCTCCAAAATAAAGAAGTAAATCTTTTTTTTTTTAAAGATTTTATGTATTTATTCATGAGAGACACACATAGAGAAAGGCAGAGACACAGGCAGAGGGAGAAGCAGGCTCCACGCAGGGAGCCCAATGTGGGACTCCAGGATCAGGCCCTGGACTGAAGGCGGCGCTAAACCGCTGAGCCAACTGTGCTGCCCTAAAGAAGTAAATCTTAAAAAAAAACCACCTTAACTGTGTCCCGCTTAAGCCCCCTATTACCTGGTCCTTGCCTACATCTTTATTTTTTTCTCTATTTCCTTCCTTCCTTCCTTCCTTCCTTCCTTCCTTCCTTCCTTCCTTCCTCCCTCCCTCCCTTTCTCTCTCTCTCTCTATTCTTCTTCATTCATTCATTCATTCATTCATTCATTCATTTATTTATTTAACTATCTTCCAGTCAAAATGAGCCTTATTCTCACACCTGAACAGGCCAGGGTGTAGGTCAGGGTCGTTGCACACGTTATTCTGTTAGCCTGGAACACGCTTCTCTCAGACCTTCTCATTGCTGGCTTCTTCAGGTCTTGGGTTAAAACTACCTCCTTAGAGAAAAGGGTTATGCTTGACCCTATCTACAAAAGAACACCTGTATCCCCCAATACACACACTTTATTATCTTAATTTTTCTCATGAACTATTATCATTATATAACAAGTTTTATGTATTTTGTTATCTAGCTGTTCTAAAGAATAAAAGTTCCGTAAGAACTTGAAGCCTTGTCCTTATTCACAGCCACAACCCCAGTCTCTAGAAGAGCTCAATAAATATGTCCTGGGCAGCCCAGGTGGCTCAGCAGTTTAGTGCCACCTTCAGCCCAAGGCCTGATCCTGGAGACCCGGGATAGAGTCCCAAGTCAGGCTCCCTACATGGAGCCTGCTTCTCCTTCTGCCTGTGTCTCTGCCTCTCTCTCTCATGAATAAAATATTTTAATAAATAAATATGTCCTAAAATAACAAAAACTTGGCCTATTTCTAACTCACTTCTGAAAAATAAATCTAGGATATTTAGCTTGGACCACTTTGCTGGAGGCTTCTAATAGCAATTTCCAAGAATGACTCTTTCCAACAGCTTCTCTACTGTACACCTAACAGGAGTGCGCCCATGTTTCTGCTGCAGATAATATAACTAAAAGAACAGAATAATCAAGGAACTCAAAAAAAATGTATCCTATTAATCTACTTGTATCAATAACAAGGTTAAATCTGTACACTGCAGTGAGTATCAGTATCTGAAATTTTGACACAACAGGAATGCTGAGCAGTAAATAACTTTATTTTCGTCTAACATACATAACCGGTTTATGATCTTATATATTCAGAATTTAGAAAACATGAGTGTAAATTATAGAAGCAAACACTTATTATAGAAACATTCAAAAGAGAAACATACCTCCTAAGGCCCCACTGTGGTCTAGACTTTTTTTTTTAAAGCCATTGGAGACGATCAAAACAGGAACGACGACAGAGAACAGCCAACGCCAAGGAGAAATAGGCTGTAAATTGCCTAAAAAATTAGAACAGATTGTGTGAGGCCCACACAGGTGAGTTTTGGCTGTAAGCCTTGATAACTGCGTTCCCGATTAAGACACTGTGGTAAGCAGGGAAGCTGAGACAAAGTCACCAAAGCAAAAGGACTATGTTGAGACTTGCATGTTTACCAAAGAGACAGTCCTTCTGGGGAATGACCACGTAGGTTCCATCCAAGTTTCAGTATTTCCTACGTATCTGTAGCTCCCCATGGTTTGGGAAGAGGCATGTATTAAATCGCAAGAATTGTACAGAGCAAAGTACTTTCTTACTAGGATCCAGTGATCATTCTTTCTGTCTTTCAGAGAGATTTTATTTTTTTGAAGTATCACTCTTACAGGCTACGCACCTGCACTCAACAAATTAGGAACTGAGCTTTCCAAAGGTTGCATCCACCCCACAGAGGTTTTCTTCTGTTTGGCTAAGCATGATGTTTTCAAACCATCGGGAGTCAATATTTAAAGGTTAGGAGATTTCACATAAAAATCCAGAACCTTGACTTCTGCTTTATTTATTTTTAAATTTTATTTATTTTATTTTTTAAAGATTTTATTTATTCATGAGGGACATGAATAAGAGAGAGAGAGAGAGAGAGAGAGCTGCAGAGACACAGGCAGAGGGAGAAGCAGGCTCCATGCATCGGGAGCCTGACGTGGGACCCGATCCTGGGTCTCCAGGATCATGCCCTGGGCTGAAGGCAGGTGCTAAGCCGCTGAGCGACCCAGGGATCCCCCCCCCCTTTTTTTAAGATTTTATTTATTTATTCATGAGACACACAGAGAGAGAGGCAGAGACACAGGCAGAGGGAGAAGCAGGCTCCCTGCAGGGAGCCCGACGTGGGACGTATCCTAGACCTGGGGTCACGCGCTAGGCCGAAGGCAGGTGCTCCACCGTGAGCCCATCATGAGCCACCCAGGTGTCCCTAAAAATGTCCTTTGAAACAGGTTTAACTAGTATTACCAGAAGCAGCATTTATGAAAGGCTCTTTTGTTTGATTTTACTTATTAGAGGGAGCACAAGCTGGGGGTGCGGCGGGGTGCGGGGGGGGGGAAGCCGACCGATCCGGGGCCCGGGGTCAGGCCCTGGGGTGGGGGGAGGCGGCGCTGCACCGCCGAGCCCCGCAGGGCCGCATCCCGCGACCCGGGGTCACGCCCCGGCCCCCAGCCCCGCCGCAGCCCGGGGCGCCCGGGGCCCCGCTGCTCACCGTAGTAGGTGCTGGCGGTCAGAGACACGACCCAGAAGGCCAGGGAGATGCAGAGCGCGAGGCTCAGCAGCGCGACGTGGGCGATCATCCTCAGGCACCGCGTGCGCGCGCGGCCGGCGGCGTCCGACATGGGCTCGGGCCCCGGGGCCGACTCACCGGGCGGGGTCGCCGGCCCGGGGCTCGCGGGGGCGCCAAGGCCAGGCCCGCATCGCCCGCGGGGGGAGACGGCTGCGGGGAGGGGCTCGGCCGTCACATGAGCCTGCGCCCCGCGGCCCCGGGGTTGGCGCGCCGCCTCGGAGGCCGGAGGGCTTCCACGGGGCCCAGCGGCCGAGCACCGACACCCCGCGGCCGCCCCGCCCCGCCCCGCCCCGCCCCGCCCCGCCCGCGCCGCTCCAGCGCATGCGCCGGGGACGCCCAGGACGCCGCGCCGCTCACGTGAGCGCTGGAGGGCGGGGCGGGGCGGGGGCACGCGTGGGCACGCGGAGGAGGTGCCGGGGGAGCCCCGCCGCAGGGGGCGTCGGGGGCGCCCCGGGTCGGGGTAGGCGTCGGGGGCGTCGGGGGAGCCCCGGGTCGCGGCGGGCGTCGGGGGAGTCGGGGGCGCCCCGGGTCGGGGCGGGCGTCGGGGGTGTCGGGGGAGCCCTGGGTCCGGGCGGACACGGAAGGACTTCACCACCAGAGTGGAAATAGAAGAAAAGGAGCGCAGATGGATTTAGACCCTGTAGAGTCCACGTCGTGCATAATGGAGTACTTTTTTATCTTAAAAGAGTTCATGGCATGCAATGTTTTTTTACCCCCCCCCCCCAAAGATTTTTATTTATTCATGAGAGACTCAGAGAGAGAGAGGCAGAGACACAGGCAGAGGGAGAAGCAGGCTCCATGCGGGGACTCGATCCCAGGACCCCGGGGTCACACCCTAGGCCAAGGCGGCGCTAAACCGCTGAGCTCCCCGGGCTGCCCTGGATTTTTTTTTTTTTTTTTTCCCAAGTCTTATTTATTTATTGAGAGCACAGGCCGGGTCAGAGCGGCAGGGAGTCCCCCGCGGACTCGGGCGAGCCTGGAGTCCCAGGTGGGGCTCCCTCCCAGCATCCTGATGACGTCACGACCGGACCTGAAATCAAGAGGTCGAGGCTTCACTGAGGGCCCCAACGTGGACGTTTTAGAGCAAGGGGGGTATGTTGTGCGGAAGGAGCAATTTTACACCTGAGAAAACTTCAAACCAGCACAGCGTTGAGTTCTACAACGTGCTGGCTGCTGCAGCTGCTGCAGCTGCTGCAGCTGCTGCACCTGCGACCATGAGGCCCGACCCACTCCGGCCACTGGGTTCAACTTGTGCAAATCTGTTTCTGCACCCCTCACGCTTTCAGCAGAACATCTCGTTAGCATGTCGTATGAACCTGTGGCTTATTTCGCATTTTATTGGAAATGAACTTGTGTGCCCGGGTTAAAATGGATAAATGCAGCATATCTGAACTTTTTCAGTTGATGCTGACCATGTAAGGAGGAAAAGGAGTTTCCGATCCAGTTACTCAAATGTGTTCTAACCCAGAGCACTTTTACTTTGAAAAGTAATTCGTTGTTTTTTTTACCACTACTTTTTAAAAACACATGCTTCCACATTTAAATAACATGCCAAAACAACTTAACATCCTTTCCTCAATAAGACATCTAATTAGATGATTTTTTTTTTAAGATCTTATTTATTTATTCATGAGACACAGAGAGAGAGAGGCAGAGGGAGAAGCAGGCTCCATGTGGGGAGCCTGATGTGGGACTCGATCCCGGGTCTCCAGGATCACGGCCTGGGCTGAAGGCAGGCTCTAAACCACTGAGCCACCCAGGCGTCCCTAATTAGCTGATTAAGAACCAAATCTGTGAAGAAGAACTAAATAGTGTCCTTATTTCACTACATGTAAATACAGTCTTCCTGCAGAAATTTTGTGCGCACTTTTTTGTCTCACCGTGTTCACTACAGGTAAATAATTGGATTCTCACAGCAAGCTGGCCGGTATCAGTCACACCAGATAATGGGATAGAATTATTCACAGACTAAAAAATATTATTTTTGTGGCTTGCCTAATGACCTTTTTGTCTCTTGGACAAAATTATGGATTGATCTTGCTTTTTCTTCCCCATCATTTCATCAGTCACAGGGCAACCTTGTCTGATGTTGGTGTTTTATGAGAATTTTAATAGCCTTTAGTATGTCTGGTTTAGGTTTGCATGACCAGTATAGGCCAGTGCAGGGGCACGTGGGTGGCTCAGGGAGTGGTCCAACTCTTGATTTCGGTTCAGGTCATAAGCTCAGGTTCCTGGGATCCAGCCCTGTGTCCCTCTGCTTGGCCCTCTCCCTTTGCTCCCCCTCTCCTGTTAAGCTCCTGCTCTCTCTCTCTCAAATAAATAAAATCTTTTAAAAAACCCAAAAGATTAAAAAAAAACAGTGCAAATAAACTATAATGTATGCTTGGATATAATTTGAGCAATAAAAATTAAAATTCCTCTTCTAGGCTTTACATATCTTTATTTTGTTTACAATTTGCTTCAATCTAGGGGCAAGGACTTCTACAGAAGTATTTTAGGGGGTCCATTTAGGGGAAAGATTTCCCCAGAGATATTCATGTACATTTTTGTAAAATAATAGGAATGACAGTAATTTCCTCGTAAAAAATGTTTAATATCAACATACTCAGAATACAATATGTAATTGTTTAACATACGTTATAAAATCATCAATTTTAGAAATTTTCCAACTGTCTAAATACCTAAAGAAAACTATGTCCTGGCATAAAGATGAGCTATTTTCTCAATTATACCAAAATTAAAATGTACCCGTATTCTAATATTGAGAAATGAGATAAAATACAAACATTATAAAGTCTACCTAGAAAAGTTCTATACTGACTTCACAGACTATCTTAAGTATATACACATGTAAAAATTTTTTATTTTAGTTTTTTGAGACACATGATGTCCTACTTGATATTTTGGATAGGGGGCTATAACGTGGAGGGCAGAGCAGAGGATTTGAAGGCTGAACACCATTGTTCAATTTAAGGATTGAACTTCCTGGACTGCTGGCATTTCTATTCCTTGTGCCAATAAGCACACATTAAACGTCTAAGTAAATAAATAACGTTAACAAGGATTTCTTCATCTGTATATTGGAGATAATGCCACCCACCACAGAGTATTTGTAAAGGACAAGAGAGCTAATGCATACCATAGGGCTTTGTTAACTTTAAGACTCTGCACTGAATTATTTGTAAAAATCTGTTAGTAGATCGTTATTTTATAAAAACATCAAATGTCAAATAAATCTGGGTACTTGGGTTTGACACAGTATTTTATTCAGTTATGTTTTCCTGTTAACAAAGATACATTAACAACTAATTTGTTCAGTGTTCATTTTCAATGGGAAAAATTTACAACTCATGAAAACACTATTTAATTCAGGTTCCATACTGATGTCTTTCTATCTCCTTTGGTAAGTCATAAGAAAAATCTGTTTTGTTTCAAGGAAAAAAGTTTTTTTGGGAAAAAGGTCTAAAATTTATATACTTATTAAATTCTAACTCAACAGCATTTACCAAAGCACTTCACATATATTTTGTTTATGACATTTATCATACTGTATTACAAAGATATTTTTTTTCTCTCAGGAGACTCTTAAGGAATTTAAGGGCAGATAATCATGTCATCTTTATATAAAGTCATTAGCCTTTTGCTGGTTCTTTGTAGAGGTTAGTTCCTGGCAGGCATAGAATGAATAACAACAGAGAATGAACAGAGCATATGTGTTGGGTCCAGCAGATGAAAAAGAGCAGATGGTAGACGGTCAAAATGATAAGTTTATCAACTACTGAAAACAGGATTTAAAAAGATTTAGGTTTTTCTCTATGAATGAACCTAGTTTTAAGGTAGACAAGTATCTGTATGTTAATGAAACAATTTGATGCAGGGAGAATTTAAAACATGTTATCAGGACAGTAACCTGACAATGACATGGAGAAAACACCAAAAAAATTTACTTTAAAATTACTGAGTGGTAGTTTATTCAGTAGTCTCAAATAATAATGAAGTCTAAGTTAACTTTGTCAAAAGCTTGTATTTTATGGGATTTTTGGGTAATTTTTTAAATGTTACCTTAAGATACCAAGATACTATTGTAGATAGGAACTGACCTTCATTAATTAGTACTTTGTTTTATATTGGAGAGGGGTGATGAACTACATGAGAGTTTATTGTTGGAAAACAGTTTATGTTTAAAGGATTATTTGCCCAACTTATTTTGAGGTATAACATTATGGTAAGTGAAGAGATATTTGAAACCATAGTAGAAAAAAACACAATGACAATTCCAAGGAGTTATGTCCAATATTTAAAATAAAATGACTAACAAGGTTTACAATATTCACAAAAGGATTTTCATAAATATTTGTTGTAAGTGCCTGATGATAATAATACAGACTTTTCTTATCCCTGCCTTTGTGAAATCTAGTTGGTTGGGAGGCAATCCTTATTAAAAGAAAGAGTGCTAATGCTGGAAGGAGACTATTGCTAGGATCCAAGCAAATACCATCAAAAACAAAACTTTCACCCCAATAAAACCCCCAAATTTCTTTATAAAATAAGATAGCTATTACCTTAAAGGAAGAACTTTAGAGCAATTTTGGTTAGGTAGATGCATGCTACTTTCATATGGTAGTGTCAGAAGCCTGAACTAAGATTGAATAACTTGATTACACATTAATAAATTTAATGTGATTTTCCCAAAGCCGTTTGAAGGGAAGGATTCTTATTAAAATAAAAAATTTATGTGGTGAATTATGGTGAACCGCTTAATTAGTTCAAGTGGAAACTATCATAGTTCTATTTTGTAAAATAATTAGCATTTGCATAGCTTTTCAGACACATGTATTTATATAGAAAATACATTCCACTTCCCTTCTGCAGTACAGTTGCTCTATTAGACTCGCTAAAAAGGGAGATAAAAGCAAGCTGATATGTACAATAGATTGATTCCATTTTAAAGTGTAAGTTGTGAAGATATAATATGGTAAGTACCTTTCTGTGATTAAACCTAATGAGGGCTTATGGGGAAAAAACAGCATAAGAGTTTTGGTATCAACATATATGCAGGCAAGGGGGTATTCCTAACAGAACTTTGTATCATGTTGCCTAATTAATGTACCATCTTTGGAACTGAATATGAAATATTTTTATTATGAGGAAAAAATAATATGAATTTATCGCTTTATTTAAGGTAAAAGCTAGATCACAATGTCTAGAGTATTTCACGATTTATAATCGGCTACCTATTTTCACTAGTCTGAGGTTCTTGAGGCCTTACCTTGCTTGGATGATGCAAGAGTACTTCACTTTCAAAATATTATTTTCAAAATATTTTACAATCTATTTTATTTTATTTTTTTACAATCTATTTTAAAAGCCAATATTTTCATGAGGGAAGCCATGATTAGCTCACTTTTATTGGTGAGTAGATACAGAAAGTTTAACTAGATAACAGAATTTGCCTTATACCTCAGAATTTTTTCCTATAAAATTTCCAAATCCAGTGCCAATAATGATTCAATTAATACAAAACCCAGCAGTTTTAAAGTCATATTTAATGTTGGTTAACTCCTACTTAGCATCCTATTTAGAATGTAATATCCCAACACTGGTACAGGAAAAACAATTTTTTTCCAATATAAATTAAACATATCACAGTTCTTTAAAAGTAATTTTAAAAGACAAAAAAACAAACACCTTGCAAACATACAATTTCTTAGCAAAATTTTTAAGTACATAATTCTTAAGTAAGGCACTTCCATTCTTTTTCAAATAAAAGTTTCATAGAAAGTTTCCATTTTTTTTATAATCAAGTCTTCATAAATTATATAATGTTATTTTAAGTAAAACTTTATTAAATATCCAATTTGGTACAATTTCCTTAAATATCTTTACCTTTGAATAGAATGAAGGACGGGCCTCAAGTTCCTTGTAGGCCAATTAATCTTAAATGACTGTTTTATAGAATTGGTATTGTTTTATCTTGTGGATCTTGTTCAAGAATCTTGAAATCTTCCAAAGGAAGACTGCTTAAGGCAGTTGGTAAAATGTGTTCTGATGTGCCCTTAGGTGATATGTTATTTGCTTCCAGATTCTTCACCAAGCACGTGGCTTTGATCCATCTTCGTGTTGCTCTGCGTTCTTTTTGTAAGCAAGTTTTCATTTTCTTTCTTAAGCTTGCTATTTCCTTTTCCAGTTTAATTATCCTCTTTTTTGCCTCCATAGGATTCCTAAAAGCATAACTGTGTTCAAGTAGTACTTGCTGACTACTAATGTTTGGTTTTAAATTAGATGGTCCTTTTGGGGTACAATTGTTTTTTCTTCAAAAGATTCCTTGACTTGAGTTTCTAAGCCAAATAAAATTAGAGGGTTGAACATAAATTATGAAATATCACAAATAAGTAAATTTTGCCTAGTTTTGTGTAAAAGTAATTAAACTCCTCTTGTAAAAACTGATTTTAAAAGTATTACAGGCAACATCACCTGCCCGTCACATGTAATTGTGGATTTAAGTTTCTCAACTTGTTAAATTAACTCCAGCCACCTTATTTCTTTTTGTCTTTTCTCTCCAGAGGGATACAAACATTGTTTGAAAATAGACAATGGACTTCCAAGGTCTCTTTTAAGTTACTGAGTATGATTTTGTGGAGACTTTAAAAATATTTTGGAATTTCTAAGACCAATATAATGTATGTAAACATCTGGTTTTTCTGTGGTACTGATTTCTCTCTTTTTTAAGTAAATACTATTCTTTCAATTTGATATTTCAAAACTGAGGTTCTACTTAATAAAAAATTATTCCCAAGTATCAAGCTTCTGAGTAGATTTACTAAATGTTCACAGTTATATCTTCCATTCAAGGATTTAAAATCTGCCTAGGAACTTTCTACCCAAATCTAAGGACTCTTTTTTCCTTTATTTCTTTTACTCAATTAGTCATCGAGTTCAACTAATTCTACTTTTAAAATATCTCTATCATCAATCCTTTCTCTCCATCATTCTTAAGGCTATGGCCTACACCAAGCCTATATCACATATGGCTTGAATATACTAAAAAATTCTTTTTTTTTTAAAGATTGTATTTATTTATTCATGAGACACACAGAGAGAGAGAGAGGCAGAGACACAGGCAGAGAGAGAAGCAGACTCCCTGTGGGGAGCCCGACATGGGACTTGATCCCAGGACCCTGGGATCATGCCCTGAACCTAAGGCAGATGCTCAACTGCAGAGCCACCCGGGCGTCCCACTAAAAAATTCTTTAATGATGTCCACCTCATTCTGAACCTCATTCATATTCTGCTACCAAAATAATTTTTCTGACAGATTTGATGTTTCTGTAACTGGCTAAATTCCCCTTTGCCTCATTATCTAAAGACAAAAAAATCTTTACATGGCGAACTTACAATTTAGGATCTCACCCCATTTTGCCACTCACCGTCTTGATTTATACTCCCACAACTATTAAATCACTTTAAGTTCCCAGATTAGGTTATAACTTCATAAGTTTGTATCTTTTATTGATTCAACAAACATTTATTAACACAGAAATTCATTTGTGGACAAATACCTTTTCCTCTCTGATCAGATTTTCCCCAACTACATGAAATATTGTTTTAATACATTCATCATGTACCTTAATTCTATCCTTTCTTTTACATACCACTTACCTAACACTTAATTGTTTTCTACTTACCCCTCAACCCATTGGCTTTTGTTCTCATCATGTTACCGTAATTGTCCTGTGCAAGGTTAAGAACCTTCTCCTACTTTCCAAAGTTCAAGCCCAAACTCCAGCCTAAATGCCTGAGCACAGTGAAGTTTTCTGTGATGCCTTCTTCTGAACTTACACTCTCTGGTATAACTCTGGGATTCTTTGGGGAGTGGTATTCTTAAAGCTCTTCACATCCATTTTGAATGTTATCTTAAACATCAGAGCAGAATGATGCTGGAGGTTTCCTTATTTAGGATTTCTGTTTTACCATTGATTCAATCATTGATAATAATTGGAAGTAATGTAAAATTCCAATACAGTAAAAGTAGTTTGGATTGGGGAAAGAATATTGGAGTCAGGAGACCTGAGCAATAACTGCAGCCTGCACCTTTACTGCACAAGAGGAAGTTTTGTGACTTTCTTGAGGCATATCATTATATATGAACTTCATTATATTCTGAATTGTTTTACTTTGTAAAGAAAAAAGAATGGGTACCAAAAATGGTAAAAATGGGTAAAAGAAAAGTGATGTTACCTACCATAGACTTTAAATGGGTACAGAAATCAAAAATGGTTGGAACAGCATCCATTTTAAGTCGTCGAGTTTGTCCTGTTAAGTCAAAACAGGAGGCTTCAAAGTGCTTTGAACAAAGAAAAGTGTGTTTTCCTGGCACAAAATTTTTGCGCCTAAGCAGACGAATCCATTCTTTTCTTCTCTTAGGATCCAAAGGAAACCTTTTAAAAAAAGAAAAAAAAAAGGCAATTCAACTTCCAACAATCACACTTCTGGTTGTAATGGTTAAAAGGAATTTTAAATTTTAAGATGGATGATGATTTAAAGCGTCTTCCATTTACATACAAAATTTTAATATCCAGACATTGGAACAAAAACCAATTCATGCTATCTTTTACAAGTTGCAAAACAACTAATGAAAAACTGACTGGAGTGCTTTTATTTTTCAGGCCTTTAAAAAAGACCTTTCTTCCCAACCTAGTTCTTAACATTGGCAGTAAAAATAAAACTATATTGATCTAAATCAAGGTTATGTAGAACCATTATAAGTATTATTCACAATGCTGTGATCAGCTTGCTGCTGACATGTACATAGGACAAATCAAATATCTACAGATTAAATTTTATCAGGGAAAGCCTAGACAGATTCTGATATTCCTTCCTCTGTGTTCCTTCACTGTGACACACTTAACGCATTCTTATGTAATTTTTCCATTTTAATAAATTTCCAGTGAAATAAAAGTAGATTATAAGTTTCTTGAGGACATATTGATCATTATATCATCTATTTATCTTTAACACTTAGCACAGTGCCTTGCAAACAGTAGGGGCTCCACAAATGTTGGCATAACTGATGTAAAACAATATAAACTAACAATTCACTGTATTACTTCCATGTAAACTGCACATATTTTTAAAAAGTGGACTCTTAAGCTATATAGTACAGTAGGAAGCATGATTATTACAAAAAGTAAAATGCTGCTGACAAGCCCAGCAGGAATGTCATTCCTTTCATGGTTATTTTAAATACAAAATATACTGATATGTATGTACTAGTGTACACCTGTCAAGGAGAAAAATATGAGACTGCCCCAAAATTCTAGTGGTAAACTGTGCTGACTTGAGAACATGACAATCAAAATTTACATGTATTAAGTTTGAGTTGAGCTACTTTAAAGTAGTTTAAAGTTGACTACTTTATCCTTTAAGTATTAATTATAAACTGACTCGTGTTTAAAAAGAACCATTAAAATGATGTTAAAAGATGGGATCCCTGGGTGGCGCAGCGGTTTGGTGCCTGCCTTTGGCCCAGGGCGCGACCCTGGAGACCCGGGATCGAATCCCACGTTGGGCTCCCGGTGCATGGAGCCTGCTTCTCCCTCTGCCTATGTCTCTGCCTCTCTCTCTCTCTCTCTTTCTGTGTGTGACTATCATAAATAAATAAAAAAAATTTTAAAAAAAATGATGTTAAAAGATCATGTGGCTCAAAAACCCCCAAATGAAGCTTTCCTAGGTAGCAACAACTTTGGCTCGATCAGATATAGTAGGTTTGCTCAAATCACCAGCAGTGAGGGACTCAGACAGATGAAAACCCAGACTAACTGGTAAGCACCCTCCCACCTCCTGTCCCTCCCACCCCGCCCACACATACCCTAATCTGAAAATATTAACATTTGTATGTCACTTTACAGTTCATGTTTTCATGTATGTAGGCTTTTAGAAAAATCATTAGAAACCTGTGATAGTAAAAAGAAAGAAAAAAAGAAAGAAAGAAAGAAAGAAAGAAAGAAAGAAAGAAAGAAAGAAAGAAAGAAAGAAAGAAACCTGTGATGGAGGATTTATCTACTCCGCCTAGCCCTCACCTGTTACTAATAATGTATTCTCATTTCAAAGATTTCTGTTCCAATACTTAAGGGTTTGGAAATGTTTCCTATAGCCTCAGGTAAAAGTCAAACTTTAGTTTACAAGCACATTTCTTGTTTGGGCCTCAATAAAGATGCAGAACAAATAAGTATCATTGTATTATCATTGCTAGAATATTCTTCAGATGTATGAAGAGTGTTTTTCAGATATTATTTTTCAGCCTTTTAATTTTTTAGCTCTTTGTAGAAGACTTTTTTTTTTTTTTTAATAGGCTCCACACCCAACATGGGGCTTGAACACAAGACCCCGAGATCGGGGATCCCTGGGTGGCGCAGCAGTTTAGCGCCTGTCTTTGGCCCAGGGCGCGATCCTGGAGACCCGGGATCGAGTCCTGCGTCCGGCTCCCGGTGCATGGAGCCTGCTTCTCCCTCTGCCTATGTCTCTGCCTCTCTCTCTCTCTCTGTGACTATCATAAAAAAAAAAAAAAAAAAAAAAAAAGACCCCGAGATCGAGTCACATGCTCTACCAATTGAGGCAGCTAGGCGTCTCTAGGTCTCTAGCTCTTTATAAAACTAGTTCCCTGGGATGCCTGGGTGGCTCAGTGGTTGAGCATCTGCCTTTGGCTCAGGGTGTGATCCTGGAGACCCATGATCGAGTCCCACGTCGGGTTCCCTGCATGGAGCCTGCTTCTCCCTCTGCCTGTGTCTCTGCCTCTCTCTCTGTGTGTCTCTCATGAATAAATAAATAAAGTCTTAAAAAAAAAAAAAGCCAACTAGCTCCCTGATTATGAAACTGATGCCTAATTGAACTTTAACTTGAGTTAGTTTTCCTTCCTTAAGATTCAATTTAGGAATCCCATATTCCTAAGGAAATTTTTCATGGACTGGGTTAGATGTTCCTATATATCATATAGAATATCATTTGTATTCTAATGGTTTGCTTTTCTACTTCCACTCCTATATCCTAAGTATCTCATGGTTGGAGCTATGCTTTTCACTATATCCGGTTAAGTAAGCACTCAATGAACTGTCTCAGTGAATCAAAGAATGAACAAACTAAGGGGATTATTCATCATTACTAAATAATGTTTAGTTATCTGTGTTGAAATAGAAAAATAAAAATAATCAGCAATTTTATATTTGATTTTGGACAATATTTATATACAGCATTAACCTTAATCATGTTTTTCATGTGTCTGGATTTTTCTCAGCATTTTCGAAGGGTGGGAGATATAGCCCATAAGCTTAATTTAAGTCATAATAAATCCTGTTGTAAATACTAAAAAATTAACATGGTGGTAACTGCTGGATATATTCTTGTCTACCAGTAATAGAACCAAACTTTCAGAAACTTTAGATGTTTTGGAAAAGTCAGTGTTTTAAACAATGCTACTTTGCTTGGGTCTTTAATAATAGCTGAATGCCTTTTATATTCCAAGACTGTCGTAGGCACTGAGGACATAGTGGTAGACAAAACCGACCTAACCTTTATGGTATCTACCCTTTATGTGAGGGTATATTGTAATGGGAAGGGTAGAAATCAAATGGCTTGACGCAGGAAAAAGGAGTGGCTGAGAATGTTGTCTCTGGTGTCAAATCGAGGTGCAGATCCTGGTTCCTTCAGTGTGATACCTGAGTGACACCAGACAAATTCTCGAGCCTTTTTAGGCTTCAGTTTTATCACCTATACAGTGGAGTAATAATGGTACTTACTATGGTTCCAGGGATTAAATGAGAAAATGTGAGTAAATGCTTTGCCCAGTGTGCAGTACACAGTAAATACTAAATAAAAGCTATTTATTAATAAAAGTAATTACAAGTTCATGAGTGTTATAAAGGGATAAGTACAGGGTGGCATGGAGCCATAAAACAGGAAGAGCTAATCTAGTCAGGAGACTTTTTTTTTTTTAAGATTTTGTTTATTTATTCATGATAGGCATAGAGAGAGAGAGGCAGAGATACATGCAGAGGGAGAAGCAGGCTCCATGCCAGGAGCCTGACGTGGGACCTGATCCTGGGACTCCAGGATCACACCCTGGGCCCAAGGCAGGCGCTAAACCGCTGAGCCACCCAGGGATCCCCTGGTCAGGAGGCTTTAAGAGAGTAGGAGTTAGTAGTACCCAGAGAAAGTAGGGTAGGAGTAGTGTAGTGTTATGACATGAAATGATGCTGGAGAGTCTTCTAAGTTAAGAGTAATTTTGAAGTCATATCCAAAATAGCATTGGTAGGCCATTAAAAGGCCTAATTTAGAGGGTAATTATTAACCTAAAATGTTTTAGCTGGCTATTAAATACAGCCATTATTAAAAATTATATAAGTTTGCAATTAAATGAAGAACAAAGGTAGTAAACACTGAAACCCATAATTTCTTTATTACTTTACTATTGCCTATATTCTTAAAATTGTTTGTGTCTGTTATAACTGTGTGATATAAATGCTATAGAACAGAGTGGTACTGCACATTTCTTCCCAACTCTGTGATCAGTGATTTCATATTGGTAGCTTGAAACCAGCCATGGGAATTGGGCAAACACCACAAATCAGTGCTTTCCCCTTTCCCTGAAGATCCCGATCCTGTTGTTAAACCTTTAGCAACACACCATTGATTATAGAAGAGAGGTCAGGAGTGCGTGAATGGAAGCAGTGAACCAGGTAAGAGGCTATTGTAACAATCCAATCAAGAGGGAATGGGGAGAAGTCAAGGGAGGATATCCTCTCACTTTCGGGGTGGACGGTGTTTTCGTTTACTGAGAAAGGGAGTACGGGACGTGGTGTAGTTTTAGGGGAAGAGCAAGCTCATTAGTACAGTTTTGACATATTGAACCCGAGGAACTGAAGAGAGACCAGGGAAATACCGAGACACTTGGCCTATATAGGTCTGGAACTCATTAGAAAGATTGGACTGGAGATGTTGATTTCCGAGGCTTCGGCGAGTTAACTGAGTCCACAGGAACAGTTGAAATCATTTTGATAAGAGTGGAAAGACCTAGGTCGGGGGCAGAGAAAGGAAGGGGCTGGCCGAGAAAACTGAAGGTAGGTCCCAGATGAAAATCACAAAATCAGTATCAAATAATTCAAAAGTAGAGTATTTCAAGGAGGAAATGAAGACATGCCATGAAAAAGAAATACAAGAGCGATAACTTATCTTAGCAAGAGCAGTTTCAGGAGACTGTTGGGGGGACTTAGACTGGAGTGGGCTAACAGATAAGAAAAACAGGACAATGAGCATAGGCAACCTAAGTTGTACACTGGGATAAACCTATCAACACCCTAGGAAAAAAGTTGGTCAAAACTGTATTTATGAAATAGGAATGTAATTTATTATATAATGTTAAGATCTGAATTTCCATGAACACATTAATCTCATAGAAGACAAATCATCAAATATGCATGTTACTGTATCACTGTGTATCTCTCAAACATTCAAGATGATGGGTGCCTCAGACTCCTCCCTCTCCCTCATCTTCCACATCAAATTACCAAATACACTGGTTTCTACTTTTTTTTTTTTTAAGATTTTATTTCAGACAAACAGAGTGCACATGGGGGGGGGGTAGGGAGAACAGAAGGAGAGGGAGAAGCAGAGAAGCAGACTCTCCACTAAACAGGGAGTCCGGCATGGGGCTCCATCCCAGGGCCCCAAGATCATGACCTGAACTGAAGGCAGGTACTCAACCCACTGAGCCGCCCAGGCGCCTCCTACTCACACATTTCTTAAGTCTATCTACTTCTTTCCCCTTCTGTCAGTAGTTACTGGCCTAGGTTACTGGTGGGCTCTCCCTTGTTTTCCTGCAAGTTCCTCTTTCTTCTCAACTCTCACCTCTTCTAATCTAGTGCTGGTTGTGCCTGCATTGAGGTACCTTGTGTAGCTCAGTTGATACTGTATGAGAGTTCCCTGTGAAAGAAAGAGTGGGCGAATTAATGTTGAATAAGCTCGTTTCTCATCAAATTCTTCTCTTGATGATGCTTGACCAGCACTTTAACACCATAAATTGTCCACACTGCAGCCAGAGGGCTTCCTAACATGCAAATCTCATCATGCTATTCTTTTAAGAAACCCTCAGGTCTTCTCGAATGCTCACTGAATAAAAGAGAAAATCTGTAGGGTAGCATACAGGACTAAATCTACGTCATCCTTTGGTTATCATCTGAAATTTCACATCCTGTAAGAAGTGTTCTTTGACTTTGCAAGGCTAAGTTAGACATCCCTGAATGTCTCTTCTGCGGCACTTAACTATATTTATTTATGTTTTTCTCACTACTTACTAAACTAAAGGAGTATAAAGAACTTTCTGGGGGTGGGGAAGGTGCCAGCCAGGCTCTGTAGGTGAAGCCCTGGACTCCTGATTGTAACTCAGGTCACTATCTCAGGATCAGGAGATGCAGCCCCCCGCCCCGGGGGGGGGGGTCCCTGCTTGGCTGGGAGACTGCTATCTCCCTCTCTCTCTGCCCCTCCATCCACTCACACCAGCTCTAACAAATAAAACTTAAAAAAAAAAAAAAAGAACTTTCTGGATTGCTAGCACAATGTCAGGCACAAGAATCCTGTACACGTTCGATGAATGAATGAATGAAGTGCTACATTCCCATGAAATATCTGAAAAACAGAAACATCACAAGGACTTTTTTTAAAGTAGCAGTTATTTTATTTTATTATTATTTTTAAAGATTATTTATTCAGAGAGAGAGAGAGAGAGAGGCAGAGACACAGGCAGAGGGAGAAGCAGGCTCCTTGCAGGAAGCCCGATGTGGGACTCGATCCCAGGTCTCCAGGATCACACCCCCCCGCTGCAGGCGGCGCTAAACTGCTGTGCCACCAGGGCTGCCCAAAGTAGCAGTTTTTAGTAAGAGAGCATTTAGTGATAATTAGGTAAGGAAAGGGTCAAGGATATAATCTTCCACATTCTAAGATTGTACTAAGTTGTGAGATACATAAAATCAGAACTATTGGGGATGCCCGGGTGGCTCAGCGGTGGAGCGGCTGCCTTTCGTTCAGGTCGTGACCTCGGGGTCCTGGGATCGAGTCCCAGGTCAGGCTCCCTGCATGGAGCCTGCTTCTCCCTCTGCCTGTGTTTCTGCCTCTCATCAATCAATCAATAAAATCTTTAATAATAATAATAATAAATAATAAAAACATAAAACATAGGGGCACCTGGGTGGCTCAGTGGCTGAGCATCTGCCTTGGGCCCAGGGCGTGATCCTGGGGTCCCGGGATCGAGTCCCAGGTCGGGCTCCCTGCATGGAGCCTGCTTCTCCATCTGTCTGTGTCTCTTCCTCTCTCTCTCTGTGTCTCTCATCAATCAATCAATACAATCTTTAATAATAATAAGAATAATAAATAAAAAATAAAAACATAAAACATAGGGGCACCCGGTGGCTCAGTGGTTGAGCATCTGCCTTGGGCCCAGGGTGTGATCCTGGGGTCCTGGGATCGAGTCCCAGGTCGGGCTCCTGCATGAAGCCTGCTTCTCTGTCTGCCTCTCTCTCTGTCTCTCATCAATCAATCAATCAATCAATCAAATCTTTAATAATAATAATCATAAATAAAAAATAAAAACATAAAACATAGGGGCACCCATGTGGCTCAGTGGTTGAGCATCTGCCTTGGGCCCAGAGCGTGACCCCGAGGTCCTGGGATGGAGTCCTGTGTCTGACTCCCTGCTTCTCCCTCTGCCTGTGTGTATCTTCTGGCCCTCTCTCTCTGTGTCTCTCATGAATAAATAAAATCTTAAAAAAATAATAAATCGGAACTATTGGCACAGAACTTTTTTTTTCAAGGCTGCTTTTCTGCTGGCACTTGCCGGGAAGGTAAGCATTTATGGAGTACTTACTGTATTTCACGCAGCCTTCAAAATGTTCTCAAGGGCTCCGGTTAGACAGAAGGAAAGACTGTGGATTGCTCCTGCAGCCATCGGAGGAGCCACACCTAAGGTCAGCACCGTAGTGAGGAGGAAAGCCGGGCTCAGCACTGACAGCTCAGTTCTGCGCTTACCCACCTGCGCGGGGCTGTTAGGCACCTAAATGCTTCCCACGCCAACCTGGCTAGTGATCGCTTCCCGGTTGCTGTTGTTGTTGTTGTTTTTTAATTTTATTTATTCCTGAGAGACACAGAGAGAGGGGCAGAGACCCAGGCCAAGGAGCAGCAGGCTCCCTGCAGGGAGCCCGATGGAGACTCGACCGCGCGACCCGGGGTCACGCAGGTGCTGCCCCGGGGGTGGGGGTGGGGCGCCCCTGGCTTCCCGATCTGGACGGCAGCAGGAGGTTTCGCTTGCTTGGAAGGCACCATTCCCGTGCAGACCCAGGCCCATGCATCGCGGAGCACGAAATCACGGGATGCTCCTTTTACTTTTCCCCCCAAGGAGTAAGCACAGGGCGGGACTCGGATTTCCCTTTCAAAGTGAGTTAATCTTTCCCGGAGGGCGGGGAGAAAAAGGAAAAAAAAAAAGAAGAAGAAGGAAGAAGAAGGAAGAAGGAAGAAGGAAGAAGGAAGAAGAAGAAGAAAAAGAAGAAGAAAAAGAAAAAAGGGGAAGGGTGGGGGGACAGAGGCGGGGAAGGGCAGCGCAAAGGACAGAAGTGCTGCTTCCTGGGCACGAGCCCGGCGGTGGGGTCGGCGGCTGAGCCCCGGCTGCGCCCGCAGCGGCGACCCTGCACCTGAGGGCCCGCGTCCCTAACCCGCGCCGCGCTTACCTGTGGAAGCTGATGTTAATGTGCTTGTCGTAGGTAGTGGCGCAGCCCGCCGCGGCGCAGTTGGTCGGCATGTCCCCGTCGCCGTCATCCGGTCCTGCGGCGCTGGCGGGGGTGCAGGTGCAGGTGCGGGTGCGGGTGCAGGTGCGGGTGCAGGTGTAGCTGCAGGTGCGGGCGGGGGCGTCAGCCTCCTCGGGGTCTCTAGTAGCACGGCGGCCTGGAGCCCGCGCAGCAGACGGCCCCGGAGCCGCGCTCGCCTTCGTTAGCCTCCCCCTTAAGGCGCCCCCCTAAAACGGAGCGGGATCACTGCGCCCCCTCGGTCGAGGCGCTCGCGGCCATTACAACGCTCCCGGCATCACTCAGGAGCCTCCGGGGCCGTCCACGTCAGCGGCTAGCCCGGGCGGGGCGCGAGCGCTGCGCGGGAAGCACAAACCCGAAAACCCGAAAACCCGAAAACCCGAACCCCTCTCCCTGCCCCGGAGGCTCGCCCCGCAAGGCGGGACTACACATCCCGGCGACCACCGCGGCGTCCCGCGAGACGACGCGGGAGCTGCGCGGCTGGCTTCCTGCGCGCCGCCGGAAGTGACGTCGTGGGCCGAGCCCCGGGCAGAGCCCCCTTTCTCGCGAGGCGGAAGAGCCGGGGGGCGCTGGGCGAGGGGAAGCGGGCCGCGGCGGCCCGGCGAGAGGCGCCGGGGTGCGGGGCAGGCGGGGAGCGGAGCGCGTCGGCGGAGCGAGCAGCCGCCGCGGGAGGCCGGCGTTCGAGGCGGGGAGCCGAGGCGGCGGAGGGCGCTGTCGGGCGGGGCGGCGGCGCGGATGGCGGCCGCCGAGGTTCCGGCGCCGGCGCCCAGCGGCCTGTCGCCCAAGGAGGAGGGCGAGCTGGAGGACGGGGAGATCAGCGACGACGACAACCACAGCGACGCGCGGAGCCGGAGCAGCAGCAGCAGCGGGGGCGGCGGCGGCGGCGGCGGCGGCGGGGCCGGGGGGCTGCTGCCCTACGCGCGGCGGAGGCCTCCCCCTGCGGCCCGCGGCGGCGCGTCCGGCGGCGGCTCGTCGTCGTCGTCGTCCCAGCAGCAGCTGCGGAGCCTCTGCCGCCCGCGCCACGCGGCGGAGCGGGGCCACCTCCGGGGACACGCCGGCTACCGGCCCAAGGAGCCGTTCCGCTCGCACCCGCCGCCCGCCCGCCTGCCGCCCGGGCCGCTGTCGGAGGGCAGCCCGCGGCCGTCCTTCTGGGAGCGCAGCCACATCGCGCTGGACCGGCTCCGCTTCCGGGGCAGGCCGTACCGCGGCGGCAGCCGCTGGAGCCGGGGCCGCGGCGGCGGCGAGCGGGGAGGCAAGCCCGGCGGCCGGCCCGCCGCGGCCGGAGCGGCGGGCTCGGGGTTCGGTGGCGGACAGAGCTGGCGGGAGCCCTCGCCGCCTCGGAAGAGCTGTATCCTTCACCTGCCCGTCCGCGCCCCGGTGGCCCTGCGTCCCTCCCTCCTTGGGTCCCTCCCTGGGTCTCTCCCTGGGTCCCTCCATGCGTCCGTCCGTCCCCGGGTGCGTCCCTGGGTCCCTCCATGCGTCCGTCCGCCCCCGGTGCGTCCCTGGGTCCCTCGGTGCGCCCCTGGGTCCCTCCATGCGTCCGTTCCTCCGTCCGTCCCTGCGTCCCTCCCTGCATTGTCCATCCCCTCGTCTGTCCCTCCGTCCCTCCCTGGGTCCCTCCTTGCGTCCGTCCGTCCGTCCGTCTCTGCATTCGTCCTTGGGTCCATCCCTCTGTCTGTTCCTCCGTCCCTCCCTGGGTCCGTGTCTGCGTCCTGCCCTGGGTCCGTCCCTGGGACCCTTCCTGGCTTCGTCCCTGCGTTTGTCCCTGGGTCCATCCCTCTGTCCGTCCCTCCGTCCATCCCTGCGCTTCCCAGCAAGCAGGTGGCTCCTCGGTGGGTCGCCGCCCGGCGCAGGGGCTTGTGTCTCTGGATTTGCTTTTTATTATTATTATTTTTTTATGCAAGCTAACGTATCACGCTTCCGGGGGCCAAACCGGCGAAAGTGATCCCCGGGAAGTCTGAAACGAGATTTCCTCCTAGTCGGTCCGCAGCCCAGGTGCCCCGAGCTCAGGTCGACGCGCCCTCCCTCGCTGCGGCGGGAACTTTTGTCTGTGTGCCAGGTTGACTTACGAGTGCTACAGGGAGGAGGAGGGAAATAAAAAATAAATAAATAAAAAGGGATGCACAGTTTAGGGCCTGATCCGGTTGCTTGCACCGTATCGAACCTTGACGTGGAAAATTGTGAGGTTCCATCCTGCACGGTTCCGCCCTTTAAGGTTCTTCTCGGCCTGTTCTTACACACGCGGCCTTTTTTTTTTTTTTTTTAAGTGGGGGCGGGGGGTGGGTGCGTGTGAAACACCTCGTACCTTCCGCAAGTCCAAGTCACAGGTGGTGCCTTCAAGCGACTCTCTGTTAAAACGACTCCTCCTCCTCCTCCTATGTTTCGTTGTGGGGCATTCTGTGCTTTCGTGCCCGCCCCGGCAGCACATACACGAAAGTTTTGGGACCTTCTATGACCCAGCGCTGACCCATGTAGGTTAGAGAGAGAAAGACAGTGTTCTGATTTTAGCGTATTGAACGCCATGCGGTGTGCGCGTGAGACAGTGGAGATTATGGGGAGGTGGAAAATAGCAAAATACCTGATGTGTTGTTCCCTCTGATACCATTATCTTTAAGATTCTTGAATGTACTGAAGGTTTATATTGGGGCGTCAGCCACCTGAAGGGTTTGTAGAACTAGGTTTTCCTGATGACTGCATAAAGATGATTTGCCACGTGCAGTGATCACCGGTTGTAGTTGCTAAGGTACAATGTTTTTTTTTTTTTTTAAACGCACTCTATATGAAACTTACACGTGATGAAGTTTGTTTGGAAGACCCTCAAGGGTGTTTTTGTAGAATTCTCAAGATCAAATGGTCTTTCCCAGATGTCAGCATGTAAAGGGGCAAGAAATAAGAATCTAGGTACACAGCAGCTTCTGGGGCTAAGGCCCTGAAAACACTTGATTCTGCAACCACAAGTTAGGCGAGGTACACCTAGGATTGTTTCAAAGAAAATCATAGAAGGATTTGACTTTTAAAAAAGATAGAAGATGTTCTTTCAAAAAAAAGGAAAGAAAAACTGTGCCCAAGATAACTTTTTTTTTTTTTTTAAGATTTTATATTTTTATTCATGAGAGACACAAGGAGAAAGGCAGAGACACAGGCAGAGAGAGAAGCAGGCCCCATGCAGGGAGCCCACCATAGGACTCCATCCCGGGTCCCCAGGATCATGCCCTGGGCCGAAGGCGGCGCTAAATCACTGAGCCACCCAGGCTACCCCCAAGCTAACTTTTTAAGGAAGTTTTTGTTAGTTGATTCTGAATCTAAAAACAGGCTGTTAAAGCACATACGTGTGTGTGTGTGTGTGTGTTTTAAATTTATTCATGAGAGACACAGAGAGGCAGAGACACAGGCAGAGGGAGAAGCAGGCTCCATGCAGGGAGCCCGATGCGCGACTTGATCCCAGGTCTCCAGGATCGCGCCCTGGGCCGCAGGTGGCACCAAACCGCTGCGCCACCGGGGCTGCCCTACATGTGTGTGTTTTAAGAATGCAAAAGAGGAAACTTAGAATTTGTGTTGGAGAGACCGATGTGAATAAATAGAGTTTTAATGTAAAAAGTTCTTATTGAGGGATCCCTGGGTGGCGCAGCAGTTTGGCGCCTGCCTTTGGCCCAGGGCGCGATCCTGGAGACCTGGGATCGAATCCCACATCGGGCTCCCGGTGCATGGAGCCTGCTTCTCCCTCTGCCTATGTCTCTGCGCCTCTCTCTCTCTCTCTGTGACTATCATAAATAAATAAAAAAAACTTAAAAAAAAAAAAAGTTCTTATTGAGATGTGTAAATAGTACTGTGGGGGCACAGAGCTTTTTCTTCATTTAAACTGTGTTAGAGAAGGTGGTGATGAGGGGGCTTGCCCAGCTCCTGCCCTTGCCTTTTTTCTGTCCAATCTTTCAATACCAATTTGGCCTTTATTTATATAATTTATACCTTTATTATTTAGCTTATATGTTTTTATTAGAAACAAGCATACAGTGTGGAAAAAATTACAGGAATATATCAAGTCTGATTTCTGTAGTAATTTAGCAGAAATGAGCTGTATTGCTGTTTTTCTTTTCACAGATGCTGCACTTAAGGAAAAGGATGCTTGTTTTGATCTTCTGCTCATTGTTTTCCTCGTGAAGTATCATTAATCCATCCTAGAGGTGGTATTCTTTGTAAGATTTTGTGAAGGAAAACATAGTGTTCAGCTACTTTTATATAATGTGAACAAACTTTGTAATACAAAATTTTATTAATTCAGGTTCCTTAATACCAAGATTATATTCAGGTTTATTCATCTATCCACTGTGCACTTAGAGTAATGACATTTTTATTTTACTAATAATTACATTAAAAAAGACTTAGGGTGTTGGGGCACCTGGCTGGCTCAGTCAGTAGAGCATGTGACCCTTGATCTTGGGATTGTAAGTTCAAGCCTCATGTTGGGGGTAGAGTTTCCCCCCCGCCAAAAAAAAAAAAAAAAGGAGAAAGAAAGAATAGGGAATGTACTGTGGCTCAATTTCATCATCTAGAAGTGAAGTAGCAGGAGTACAAGTATTTTTTTTTTTAACATTTTTATGTAATGATCAAGGCATGGTAGGTGCAGCTTTAATGAAATATAATAAGCAGATTCTAATGTGGCACTTATTTTCAGTTTTATTCATTTAAATTTTTTCTGAATGATAGACATTTCGTCAGTCCCGCTTAGCATGTTTCCTTTGGATGACTGCTGTTTTAAACTTTCTAATCTGATGAGAGCTAACATAATTAGGCCAGTGTCTCTCATCAGTAGAAAGTCATTTCATTTTCCACCTACAGTTGAAAAGCAGTTCTTTTTTTTTTACAAAACATTTCGGTTAGAAATTGCAACTTAACTAGTTTAAAATTAAATCTTTTCAGTGTTGGTGTCATCTTTGTCCTGTATTAGAAATTGGAGATTTCATTTAGCCTTGACAGAGATTATAGTTGTAACTCAATTGCTTTTCCTCATTTTCCTGTTGTTAGTGTATTGAATCTTTTCCCTCTACAAATCTTTCCAAGATCTTCAGTTTTGTCTTTATTTTATTTCTTCATTTTTATCTTTAGATGGCTCCATTGAAAAGTAAGGTGTAGCTGCAGGTAATTCGAGAATATGTACAAAGAGTATATAATGGTGGGAGAGGAAACAAGTAATGTTCTGGGTTCACATAGATGACATTTCAGTTTTGAATTGGGGTCAGTTTGAAGAACAGAGAAACCTAACTACAAAACGATGTGTATGGGGATCCCTGGGTGGCTCAGCGGTTTAGCGCCTGCCTTTGGCCCAGGGCGCGATCCTGGGGACCCGGGATTGAGTCCCACGTCGGGCTCCCGGCATGGAGCCTGCCTCTCTCTCCCTCTG